TCGGTCCTGAGAGGACCTTTCGGGTTCGGTTCCTTCTGGGTGAGGTTCGACCCTGAGAGGATCTTTCGGGTTCGGTTCCTCCTGGGCGAGGTTCGGCCCAGAGAGGACCTTTCGTGTTCGGTTCCTCCTGGGCGAGGTTCGGCCCTGAGAGGACCTTCGGGTTCGGGCCTCCTAGTTTCTGTCCTCCTGGTTTCGGTTCTTAGAGGGTTCGGTTCTAAGAGGTTTCGCCTCTTATAAGAGGGTTTCAGGTCCTTAAGCTGTGACAACCCGATATTTCGAGACAATGTAATATAAAACCAATCAAATTTACGTCAAAATATAACTTTCCTAAAATCTTATTTGGGTTAAATAAAGTAGTAGGAATCGTATCAAGGTTTTCGTACATATAAAGAACCCTAAAATCCGAGTTATAACGAAGAAGTTATGACCAACCGAAGATTCTCGGCAAAACCGGCAACATCGATTAAACGAAAAACACGAAGTTTCAATACAATAGTTTTTAGCCTTAAGTATCTAAATGAAAGTTATAGATAACCTCAAACCGTGAGCGTACATAAAAAGAACGTCCAAATCTGACTTCGTATGAGAAAGTTATGATTTGTCCAAGATCCGAATATAGAAGTAGACAGCTAAAAACTCGAAATAGAGCTCGAGAGACTTTTGACCAAAACAACCTAAATGAGAATCGAAGGTCTCAACATTAGTAGCGCAACGATGAAAAGTCTGACGAAAACGGACATCGGATGAAGAAGTTATGGATTTTTAACGGAATTATCGCATCCCGGCCCGTTAAAAATAAATAATTAAAAATAATGTCAGAATTTGCCGATGAAGTCTAAAAGAGAGTTGTAGATAATGTTTTTAGCTACGCGTGCATATAAATAACTTCAAAAACGGAGCTCGTACGCGAAAGTTATGGATTTTACAAGTTCGAGGTCCGAAATCCGAGGCTGTCAGGCTTGCCACGACGTGGCACAACTTTGTCGCGACCCGGAAAGTGACTGAGGGCGTCCAATCAATGGAAGAGGATAAGTTTGACTCCCCAAAACGTGGCCATCACTTGCCACGACGTGGCACACCCCAAAAACGCCCATATAAGTAGATTTCAAGGGTTCCGAGCTCCATTGCTCAGTTCCTTTCTTTCTCGCGCCGAAACTATGCGTTTAAGCCCCCGAGACCCTCCCAAAGCCCCGATTTTCACCTTCAAGTCCCGAAGGAAGGTTTTGTGTTCCTGAGATTCCTGAGAATCCCGAGATTTCCCGCGTTTTCAACTCTTCCTGTCGAAGTTCTGCTCGATTCCTCTCTCGACTACTTCAAATCAACCACTTCAATCAAGTGAGTTCATACCCCTTAACTAATGTTTTAAACTACTTTTAAATGTTTTTTTGGGGGGAATACAAGTAGAATCATGCTAGGCTTATATCAATCACATGCGATTAATAAGTAGAATTACGCTAGTTATTACATCAATCACATGTGATTAATATACAACATTCAAAAGATTTGGCTACTCATTAGCCATTTTACCAAATAGTTTACTTCAAATGATTTTTATAAACATTTTATATGTTTTAAACTACTTATTACACTGTACATCTTACTCAGTACATTACCTTTCAAACTTATTTACAACTGTGTTTCAATCAAATGTTTCCTTATACTCAAAACTGTTTTATCATACTTATGCCTTCAAATTGTTTTATAGATCGACATCAAGTCGATCTTTTCTTAAAATAATATTTATGTTTCAAATGTCTTACAAAATTTATTTATGCTTTTATATTATAAATTGCATGCCTCTATATGTATAGTTATATAAGAAATGTTTAAAAGACTTAGGAAGGCTATCCACCCTATTTCCTTTTCGCGCCTTGAGATGTGGTTTGGTGGGATATTGGGTATTCGTCCGAAAGTCGTTTAAATATTAGTTATATATCATGTGTACATATATAGTCATAAAAGGTCTTTCCAGTTCATCTCATGCCCTTAGTTAGTAAGGGTATACATCCATGACCATACGTACCGGTTAGACTGCTAGTAAACTACCATATGGGTAGTTTAGGAAGATACTAGAACCGTTACTAGAACGCGATATCACACAATGAGTCAGTTCATTCATGAGTCAATACTTTCTAGAACATCACATATACAACTATACTAGGACGAGAATATATACAACTATACTAGGACGAGAACATATACAACTATACTAGGAAGAGAACATATACAACTATACTAGAACGAGAAACATTACCCTTACATTAATACGTTAACAATTGTGATCCACTGTATCGGAGCATGTCTTAATTGTCATGACCCGAGTTGTAGCCAGAGTCTCTTGGAGGGAGAGCGTGAGTTTGCGTATAGATCTATACTGGATTGACTATCCTACACCTCGCTGCTAGCTACAGCGGGACCGACAGGTCTGCGGGTGCCAAACGTCATACCTTATTTTTCGACTATACGTTGTCGTTGTTACCAGTCAATAGTATGGTGCAATTTATCACATGATACCTTAATATAAACCCGGTTTAAGGTAGTTAGTACAACAGTAGTTCCTATAATACAAAACTACAGTACTACAATGATTTACCTATTACATTTTTAGCGATAACCTCACTTAAACTTTAATGTACAAACTATATTTTGTTAAAAGATAGTTACACTTGGGAAATTACACACTTTTACATCAAATGAGCATACAAAACAGTTAAGCCTTGGTAGAAGGCTACTTTAATAGAAAATATAGGTTTTTCTGAGAGATTCAAACTTTTTCAAATTCTTACAATACATAGACTTACAAATTCTTACATACAAATTAAGACACTAAATACTTATGATCTCACCAGCTTCAAAGTTGATACTCGCTTTCAAAATTACTTGTATCCTCAGGTCATCATAGACAGGTACCGATGCAAGGAGAAAGGAAGATGGAGCTTGTTCAAGACTTATCTTTCATTTTGATTTATGCTTTAGTGTTTATCAAAATTTTACAGAATACAATTGTATAATAATTATTTTATTAATGTAATAGATGATGTTGTTGCTTGTTTACTACTTTACATTGTTGTTGATATTATACATGACGTCCTCCGCCCCAGAACGTTTCCGCCGTTCTCGGTTTTGGGGTGTTTAAGCCTATTTTACTCGTTTTTACCCCGTTTTAAGCCGTTTTTGACCCGGTTAAGGGTCGGAATGACCCAAATGATTTCAAAAAGTTACGGAAACTTTTGAGAGAGATTTGGGAGAGATTTCACACACTTGGAGAGATTTCTCATACAAAGAGATATTTGGGAGAGATTTCACATACTTGGAGAGATTTCTCATATAAAGAGATATTTGGGAGAGATTTGACATTCATAGAGAGATTTGGGAGAGGTTTGACATTCTTAGAGAGATTTGGGACAGATTTGACATTCTTAGAGAGATTTGGGAGAGATTCTTGATAAGAAGAGATAGAGTGAAAACGATTGAGAGAGGTTTCGTGTGTGACAAATGTGAGTGTCCGGCTTCGCAATGCAAGGTCCGTAAACCCTGTTAAGCCTTGTTTAAGGATCTTACACACTCCCGATGAGTATGCAACATTGTTTATCAGTTTAATTCATTGATTAGCACTAAGGCTTAGGAAATTTTAACACAAGGGCTTTTCCCAAGTGATGTTTTCCCATTAATATAACAAGTTATACAGTATGTATATAACACAAAACCTAATACACAAGGTTTAATCGAGTTGACCAGTTTGACTTGATGAATTGACTTGACTCTAGACTGACATTAGTCACACACTCATTTAATTAGCCTCTAAACATAAAGGACACATTGGCAAACTTGTAAATATGATATAATAGCCTTCAATCACAAATACGAATAGTTGAAATTCATTCGTTTTTTGCTCTTTCAATCCAACCTTCAATTCTGTTTGAATACGAACATATCTTCAACATCTACGATTAATTATACTCCCAACATCATTAGAACAACATCATCGATAATCAACAAAAAATTCAATTCGTATCATTCATTCAACATCGTTCATCAAATAAAACATCGAAATTAAGGTTAGAAAAAGATCAAATCATTTTTTGTTTGAAAATTTCATATATTTCTCTACCAATCTACTATTTTGTAAGATTTAAGTAGTCAAAGTATCATATTTATCACATTTTTAAAAAAGTTAACTTGTATGCACTCCAACTGTTTGATGAAATGCATAAACTAAATTACCACATTATATTTACATATGAATATGTTTTCTCACCTGAATCAATATGTGATTATTAAAACACAAAACAAATATGCAAGTCTGTATGTTATTCATATGTGAATAACATATAAAAATTATATATATATTTCTGAAAACAAATTGTAATATTCATATATGAATATACTGTGCTATATTCACATATGAATATACCAACTATTATTCATAAGTGAATATACGATCTAATATTCACAAGTGAATATACTATGTACTATTCTCATGTGATATGCCATGTAATACTATATAATATTCACATATGAAAATATCATATAATATTCATAAGTGAATATATATCATCTAACATTCACAAGTGAATATACTATGTAATATTCACAAGTGAATGCATCGTCTAATATTTAAATATGAATATATTATGTTTAATATATGCTATATTCATATATGAATGATACTTAAATTGTAAAAAAAAATTAATCATAGTTTTTATTCATAAATGAATAACGAATATACCGTAGTAAAAGCCATATTCATTTTTATTCACTTATTAATAACGATAGCTGGAAATATAAAAAAAATAAATTTTTTATTTTATCTTAAAACTATATCAATATGGATGTCTATTTGTAGAGAATAAAAAATCATGAATTTTGGTATATTTAAAATCATTTTTCGATAAAAACAACTTTTTAAAAATTAAAAAAAAAACGAAAAAACTATGTTTTTGTATATATTAAGGTAATGCTTAGCATAGTTTAAGGAAACATGTTTTGTTGGAAAACACATGTGCATTCTTTTCCCATTTCCGCTGGTACGTTGAAAACTTTTGCAATAAAAATAAATGATTGACTGAGAATGATTCCCCCATTCTCAACCTTTTTTTTCTCTATTGAACCCTCCTCTCTTTCTCTCTCTTTCTTTCTCTCTCTCTCTATGTATATATATATATATATATATATATATATATATATATATATATATTTGGTGGCTCTTTTTTTTTTTTGTATGTGACTCTTAAAATCAACTGACATTATATATGAACATTCTCATTTGCTTTCCCATGATCTCATATATCGATATCGGGTTATATAGGACAAACTGTCCGTCAATAATATTTGAAGGTGATTGAATAGTTAGATTATATATTTTAAAGAGTTTTAAAAAATAAAATCCTCATGAATTATTCAAATCAACTTTTTACAAGATGACAGTACCACTATAAACTTTTTATACAAACATATATGAAATTAAGATTGAAACGGATATTTTCGTAAAATGATAAACAATTCTTTAATTTTGTCGGATTGATGCCAGCTAAAAATTAATGATGATTCAAAAAATAATGAATGTGTAAGCTAGCATTTAAAAAGGAAAAAATAAAATAAAATAAAGACATGAAGATTAGAAAGAAATGGGTATTTAAGTAAAATTATCAATAGTAAAATGGTCTAATTTGCAAACCCAGCCATCCAAGGGCTATCTGGGATAGTCTTTCATAGCCTAGGGGTAAATAGATACCATACTTAAAATTAAGGGATATTTCTGGAAATATCTTATTCGATTCCCAAATTGGTTCAAAGATCCTTCAATAATTTCCAATTTCCATATCACCAACCATCGTCTCAGGCCTTTCTACGCATCCTTGTGCTAAATTCCTGGTGTTCTTCGATTTCTGTTCATCATCCAGCAAGGTCTCGGTTTTCCAACCAGGTACACCCCGTATGTATCTCTTTGATTGCGTGTATGTATGTATACCTAAAAATCTACATTGTTTTTATTTATTCAAGAATCAGTTTTTGTTCAAATATGGCGGATTGATTCTATTTTTCAGCTGTCTTTATTTGACCTTTCATTTCTTTACATATGTTAGATTTTTGTTTTCTACGTTTATCTTGTGTGTGATCATGATTCATCTGTCATAAGAATCGGCGTGTTTATTCTGGAAATTGGAAATTTGTTATGCTTTCTTCTTCGCTTTTTTTTTTTTTTTTCAATCGTAGGAGTTAAATTGTGTAAGTTGATAAATTCATATAATCATGGCCATTTTTTTTCTAGAGGAATCGATAAATTAACCTAAAATTACAAGGCGTGTTTACATCTTTCTTCCTTAGGGACGTGGGTATAAGAAACTAAGTTAAAGCAGTGTAATCTTCCCCTTTTGTTCATGTCATCTGATAATTGAATGTGCATTGATTGCGTACAACTTGTTATCATAGAAATTATGTTGAAGGATTTATTTTATTTGTAGTATCATTTAGTAGCCTGTAGATTTCTCAAGGCCACATGCTTTTGTTTCATTGTCATATAAGAGCTATGGGTTTTATGAGAAATCTAGATACCTTGAATCTATGATCAATGTTTTTACTTATGTTCATGGATTCATGCATTGATCTCAGATTGATATTCCATAGTTATATTACTTTCTTTGATCAAACAGAGTTATCTTTCCAGGCTAAAGACAATAAATACTGCAGTGTGACTGAAACTGAATCAGTAATTTTCTTGACACCATTATGGATGAGACAAAAAATAGTGATGATTTTACCTTTTGGCAGGTAAGTTCTCTACAATTTGTCTGAATTATCTATAAGCTTCATATCAATCTTTCTTTGTGACATCTTTAGGGTATTCATTAAGGGTTTGTTTTGTAAATTGGAATGGAATACTCATTCCTACGGAGTGAACAATTCCATTCCTTACCTTATTCCATCATACCAAACACTACCTAAACTGTTTGTTTCTGATTATAGGTTGGTGATGAGAAGAAAAATGAACCAAAAGGTCTTCCAGATGTTAGTAGTATGAGTATAGAAGATAAAAACAAAAGTAGTGGAACTATTTGGGGTGATAATTCCAATAGTAATGCTGATGTGGCAAAACAGGAGAAAGTTGGATCCTTGACTTTTAAGGTTATTGATGCATCTTCACAAAGAAAGTCAAAGGAACCTTCCAAACAAACAGCAGGGGTAGATGTGGAAAGTTCAAATAATGCATCACAAAAACCAAAAAGTGTTGGAAAGAAGCCAGTTTCAAGGGCAAAAGTTCCTTATCAAATTGGGTATAGTCATATGGATTGGCTCAAGGTTACTAGAACACATCCTGATTTAGCAGGTAATTCAATTGTTTGACTTTTAAAATAATGTTTGACTTTATAATGCAAACAAAAACATCATAAATAAAATATACCCTTTTTTTGTTTTTACATTTACATTCCTGTAAATATAATATAACCTTTTTTTTGGTTATGTAAGCTTCAATAACATAAATATTTCCAAAATTTTTCAAAACTTAAATGGAACTAATTTTTTATTTTGTAAAATGTAACCTTAAAGTTAGTTCTTCACTAGTCTTGTTTGAGGTTTTAATTGGCTTTTATGATGTCTAATTTTAATTGTTATAAATAAAAATCCAGTGATTTATATTAAATAATAAAGTTGAAATAAAATTATATACTGTATAACTGTAACTACATATCATATAAATAAATCATATGAAAACTCGTTCTATTATATCCAACCAATGTTGTTTGTTATGCAGAAATAAACAACTGAATGAAATTAAATTAATAAATAAAGACAAATTTTCATTTTTATAAAAATAAACTTCGCTGATTTTTTTTTATTTGTTTAGAAAATATGCTTTTTATATTTACCAAGTAGTCGATAAAATTGTTATTTATCACTTTGAAGAAATTGCTTACAAAAATAGAAAACTAAATACCACTCAATCTCGAAATCAACGTATTATAAATTTTTTTTTTTAAAATAATTTTCAGATTTAAAATAATATATTTTTATTAAAGTTTGGACATATTATTAGTGCCAAATTCCATAAAAACTACTGTAGTTTGGATTTTTATTTCTGTTTAACCACCAGAAGAATATTTTCTGATTTAATCACTAAGATTTTGATTTTGTGTTTAAAAAAGGGAAATCTACAAAAAAGTCCCAATATTTTGGAAATATTTTTAATGAAGTCCTAAATTTTATTTTTTGAATAGAAAAGTCCTCACTTTTTAACTTTTTGAATAGAAAAGCCCAAGAAACCGGTTAATTTATTCATTTTAACCCCTTTTGACTCGTTCAGCAGGTCATAGGACCAAAATCGTTAATTTTTCCAAAATAATGAGACTTTTCTACAGATTTCGTCAAAACTTATATATAATGTATAAATGTATTTTTTACGTATTTATATATATTTTTATGTACTTTTGAATTTTTTCAGTTATAATATGTATATGTTTACGTATTTTTTATGTATTTTAAATGTATAAACGTATTTTTTTACATATTTATATATATTTTTAAGTATTTTACACAGTTTTTTTATGTGTATTTTTTTATGTATTAGGTATATATATATATATATATATATATATATATATATATATATATATATATATATATATATATTTACGTATTTATGTCTTTTTGTGAGTTTTTATATGTATATGTTTACGTTGTTTATGTATTTTAAATTTATAAACATATTTTTTGACGTATTTATATGCATTTTTAATTGTTTTATATATTTTCTATTTATTTTTATGTGTTATTTTTTTATGTATTATGTATTTATGTATTTTTTTAAAGTTTTTTATATAGATGTTTATGTATTTTAAATGTATAAACATATTTTTTTACATATTTTTATGTATTTGAAGTA